TGCGGCGAAGGAGAGGAAGACCTTCGATGAGATGGATCGATTCTGTGACTGGAGTGGTGGGAATAAGTGTATTTGATATGGCTAGGTTGGCACAGGATAGAACAGCGTTTAGAGCTCTTGTACATAGGGTCGCTATGAGTCACAACTCGATGGCACATAACAACAACAACAACAATCCAAATTACCATAAACAATAAGGCAATTTTGGAAAAGGATAAAAATTTTGAGAATTTGAACTACTGAATATTTAGACTATGTAAACCTGAGGGAGCTCTGGTGGCCTAATAGTAAGAAACTGCACTGTAATCCTGAAGGCATGCAGTTCACATTCACCAGCTGCTCCATTGGAGAGGATGGATAATCTATTGCTGTGCAATTAACTCTCTTGGCAAACCTGTTGGAGGGTCAACTATGGGTCACTTCTCACTTGGCAGTTCCTAACAACAACAACATGCAAACCTAGGAAACTTGGTGACACGGCACATTACATAATGGGCTATTAACCAAAAAGTTGAAGTTTTTGCCAACTAGCTGGTAATAAGTTGGAGTTTTGAGTGTGAGATTTATTGGTCATAGAGCCAATCAAGAATTTAATATCCAGATAATATTAAACCCCTTAAAAATCTGTAAGAAGCATACAAATCACCCTAATAGAGGGTTGCTATGTGTCTGAATCAACTCTATGGCAATGGATTTGAATGCAAGTCTTGTCATAAAAGATACGTATCATACTTTATAGCACAGTTCCTTATTCATTTCATTGTTTTTAAGAGAGTCTCTCTATAGAGCATGTATATATGTATGTATATATATATGAATTTGGAAAGGTGTTGGAGGTCAAATACTGAGAAAACTATCCTTTGCGGTAACAAAAACTTACAGGTAGTTAGGTCTTTTCTATCATATTTTGATATGATTTTTCTATCATTTCTATCATATTATCGTATCATATTTTTATTGTATTTTGCAAGATGGAGCTAAAACATTCAGTCAAACATCCATGAACATATCAAGCACAAACTGATGATTGTCACAGTCCAAGAGAATATTTTTCAAGTAATGAGCAAATTCCTCAGAAAATATGGTGGCACATTGACAACTATCTGCCTAAGAAAATTAATTGGTGTTCTAAATCTATAAAATTCTTTACTTATTTTGTGCTTAAATGGAGAGTATTGCATGATGGTATAATAGTTTGTTAAAATGTTACCATTCTTTCTGTTTCCCATTTAAATAATCATCACTCTACCTTTCCCTCTTCTCTCATACCCCCAACCTTCTTTAAAAATCTGTCTAGAAGGTTTTCAGCATTTACAAAGGCTATTTTGCAAAGATAGGAGATAGGCACTAAAATTATTGTTGCTATTGAAAAATTATGTACTCTATTTCATTAAAAATAAAATGAAGACCCATGAGGTCTACAGAAAATATATTTTCCATCTTTTCTCTTTGCTCCTGAGAATGATTTATGAAGTGTAAATACATTCATAAACACAGATACACACCCTAGGGAAAAATAAGCTACAATTTATTCCATTGTTAGTGGCTTGCATTATGAAATGGGTCCTACCAAGTTTACATGGTAAATTTAAGTCATATTTAACCACTTAATGCTGTTCCAGATGATGAGAAATGGGAAAGAGCAAACTTCCATTTGTCATTCAGATCAAAAATGTTACAGGAATCATATGTCTACTTTACATGGTTAAATCTAAAATTATATTTCCATAACTGAGTTCAGTTCATTAGAGAGTATTTATTCAGAGAAACATCATTATTCTTGCTGTATTTTCATATGACCTGAGCTATTTGTTCAACTTATGCGTTCACAAAATGACACAGAAAATAGAGGCATGGCAGAATTAGAGTTGCTTTTGAGTCCTTATTTACTTCATAGCAATTTCCTTTAAAAAATTTTTCAAATGTATATTTGGTAAATTTATGGTCATCTTGCCCTTGAATTTTCCATTGAATATAATTTCACAATGCCCTAAGTAGTGTAAGAAGGTGGCCGTGGCTTTTCACATAATTCAGAGGTAATTCAGCAATTATCTGAAATAGCTAGTACAAATCTCACTGTGATTACCAGAATTTTAGAAAGAACCTTCAACAAAAGCAGGGACTAACAAACAAATTGATGCAATTCTCAGCATGACAAGCCCAAGTAAGATTGTATTTAGACCTTTGATTCACCTCCCACTCCTTTTCAGGTCTTGTGTCCCAGGTCAGTCTCTAGAGCAAATTCCTTCCTTAGTCTGTCATTGCCTATATGTAGGATTTGCTTGGAACAGTGCGAGTTTACATAATTATCATTAATAGCCCCACATTTTGCTTTCAGAAAAAGGATATATTATCTGATCAGTTTGTCCATTGTTGTTGTTTCTGTTTGGTACCATTGAGTTGGAATTGACTTACAGCTGACCCTCCAGCAGATTTTTAGAGGCAGTAAATATCATGGGAAGAGATTGCCCCGTTTTCTCCCACAGAGCAGCTGGTGGATTTGAACCTTGTGGCTTTGGGTTGGCAGCTCATAGCCTATCTATGTTGTTGTTGTTAGGTGCCATTGAGTTGAATATGACCCATAGTGGCTCAGTGAACAACAGACTTGATTTCTGTCCTATCCTGTGCCATCATCTCTGACACACTTGAGCACATTGCTGCAGTTGTTGTGTCACTCTTATTGGTGGTCTTCCTTTCCTTCACTGACCTCACATCTTCCCAAGCATCATGTATCTCTCTCAAGAATAATCTCTCCAAAATCCAAGTCCAAAGAGTGAGATACAAAGCTTCACCATTTTGTACCCAAGGGGCCATATGGCTGCATGTTTTCCAAGACAAATTTGTTTGTTCTTTCAGAAGTATGTGGAATATTCAGCACTCTTCTCCAACTCCACAACTCAAAAGCATTAATTCTTCTTCTGTCATCCTTATTCATTGTCCAACTTGTAGATGCATAGCAAGTGATTGAAAACATCATGGCTTGAATCAAGCACACATTAATCTTCAAACTAACATCTTTGCTTTTAAACATTTTGGAGAGGATTCTGCCAGTGCACTTACCCAAGAACATATGACTGCTGGTTCCGACAGTGTTGATCATTGATCCAAGCAAGATAAAATCATTGACTACTTTAATTCTTTCTCCATCTATCATGTTGTTGTCTATTGGCCCAGTGGTGAGGACATTCCTTTTCTTGATGTTCTTAAGTAATCCATACCAAAGGCCTTGATTTTCTGCAGCAAGTGTGCTTATAGTGTTAGTTGTTTTTACTTGCCTAGTGTGGCTAACTCTGAAAAGAATGGGGATCCCAGAACACTTGATTGTGTTTATGTAAAACCTATACTGGGACCAGGAGGCAGTCGACAGAACGGAGAAAAGAAACAATGCATGGCTCAAAATTGGGCAGGGTGTACATCAGGGATGTGTCCTATCTCGATACCTTTTCAATCTATATGCAGAACAGATTACCCAGAAGGCTGGGATCCATGGGGAGAAATGTGACCTCAGGATTGGAGGCAGACTCATTAATAATAACCATTATGCTGATGACACAACCCTGGTTACTGAAACTGAGGAAAACCTGAAGCACTTCCTGCAGAAGGTCAGGGACTGCAGCCTTCAATATGGATTGAAGTTCAACATTAAGAAAACCACTGGGCTGATTGGCAGCATCATGATAGATGGTGAAGAGATTGAGATTGTTAACAGCTATAGTTTGCTTGACTCCACAATCAACATTCTTGGTACTAGCAGTCAGGAAACCAAGAGACAAATTGCATTGGGAAAGTCTGCGGTCAAAGACCCCTCCAAAGTACTGAAGAGCAATGATGTCAGTCTGGGGACTGAGTGCACCTGATACAGGCCATGGTCTTTGCAATTACTTGTTGTGCAACAGACAGATGGACAATGAATAGGGATGATAGAAGGAGAGTTGATGCCTTTGAACTGTGGAGCTGGAGAAGAGTGTTGAATATACCATGGACTGCTAACAAAATGAGCAGGTTCATCCTGGAGAGGGTGAAACCAGGCTAATTCTTGGAAGCAAGGACTATGAAGATTCATCTGACAAACTATGGACATGTTGCAAGGAGGGACCCATCCTTGGAGAGGGACGTCATTCTTGGGAGGGTGGAGGGACAGCACAAAGAAAGGAAGACCCTTGGTGAGATGGATTGATTTAATGACTTAAGGTAACAGGGGTAGGCATGTCAGAGACAATAAGATTAGTACAAGATAGAGCAGGATTTAGGGCTGCTATACGTAGGGTAGCTATGAGTTGCAGGTGATTCCATGCACATACAACAACAACAACAGTGTTTAATGATGCTTTACATACTTTCATATGGTTATTATAATTAACAGTTTAAAGTATACAACAAATTTTTAGTTAATTTTTGTATAACATGTATGAGGGGTGTGTGTGTATGTGTGTGTTTCTTTGAAAATTTTATTGGGAAAGAATATCTTCCATTGAGTTGTTTTTGGACCTATTTGTATGGATCTATTCCTAGTTTCCTTATTCTGTCACTGTTTATGTGTCCACCAATACTATACAAAATATCATAATACTACATAAAAGTTTCCTTTAATCAGGAAAACGGATTCTTCCCTTTTGCCTATTCCTTATAAAACTGTTTTAGTGATTTTTGCCTTTCCACATACATTTTAAAATAAACTTGCTTGTATTTCTCAAAAATTCTGCTAGGATTCTAATAGCAATTATATAAAACTCAAAAATTTTATTGTGTAATCTATACCCTTATTATATTGAATCTTGCAATATTTATAAAATCTTTTATTTCTTTCATCAATATTATATTTTAAAGTAATGTTTTAGTATAATTCCACAAGTCTATTAGATTCTGTTTATTGTTGGATTTTAGTCTATTTTTCTATCTGTTGTTAAAATCGGGTAATTTACGGGCTCTGTGCGTTGGGCAGCAGGGAAGTGGCGAGGGCGGTCCTGGTCTGGTGCTGAGAAAGGACTAAAAGAAGTCAAATGGTGAAAGCTACCTCCTCAACAGCTAGATCCCAGGGCACAGTGACCTTTGAGGATGTTGCTGTGTACTTCACCATGGAGGAATGGGCCAGCTTGAAACCTGATCAGAAGGCCTTGTACAAGGATGTGATGCTGGAGAACTATGAGACTGTGGCATTCCTAGCTGTGGCACCCATTCCCAAGCCAGCTTTGATTTCTCAGCTGGAGCAAGAGAAAGACAACCACGTGAGCCAGGCCCAGGGGATCCTGAGCAGACGGGACAGGAGAGCAGCTCTCACTAGATACATCGTAAAACTAAGAAGATATATCTCCTTAGCCAGAGCAACATTTTCAAATCCATTATTATTTCCCGCATCTCGGACTCATCAATGCTGGGAAGACAGAACACGGTCTTAATTCTCAACCTCTACAAACCAGTTTTCATTGGAAGGATTTAAGAGCCACATGTTAGTTGTACATTTTCTTTCTCTGTGAGCTCATGCATTTTCAGAGGTTTAGTGTTTTGCAGCCATTAAAATGATTTGTTTGATGTGCAAAAAAAAAAAAAGATCGGGTACTTTGTATTACTGTGTCTTCTATTGGTATTTTAGTAACAAGGAATTGCATTACCAACCCAAAGGCAGGTGGTTTGAATCCACCATCTGCTCCGTGGGGAAAATATAGGCAATCTCCTCTTGTGCTATTTACAGCCTCTGAAAACTTGCTGGAAGATCGGGGAAAATATAGGCAATCTCCTCTTGTGCTATTTACAGCCTCTGAAAACTTGCTGGAAGATCAGCTTTGAGTCAATTCCTACTCTAAGGAAAACAACATCTTCTCTTGGTGTAATGGGTTCAAAGTTGGACTGCTATCCAAAAAGTCAACAGTATAAATCTACCAGCTACTCTGTAGGATAAGGTAATTCACTCCTACAAAGATTTACCACTTTGGAAATTGGATGAAGCAGTTCTACTTGGACCTATAGGTCATTCTGAATCAGAATTATTTCAAAGGCATGGCACTTGGTGTCACATACTTTGGGAATGTTGTTAGGAGAGTCTATTCCCTGGAAGGGGACATCATGCTTGGAAAGTTGGAGGGTCAGCCAAAGAGTGAAAATCCTCAAGAAGAGGGATTGACACAATGACCATTGCAACTGACTTGAGGATATGAGAGATGATGAGGATAGCATAGATCCGTTGTTCAGAGGGTTGTTATGAGTCATACTTGACTCAATGGCACCTAACAATAACAACAACAGTTCACTATTATGGAGCAAGAGCAGCTTAGAGGTAAGAAATTGCACTGTCAGCTCAAAGACATATGGTTCAAATCCACCATTTACAGGAGGAAGGTGAGCCATCTTTTGCCATGTAATTTATGAAAATTCACTGAGTCAGTTTGGACTCAATGGTACATAACAATCATAGATCACTGACAGGGAACTCTGGAGGCTAGTCTGTCAGGAGTTGTGCCCCTTATAGATCATCGCAAGAATTTTGAATCCTCTAGTAGTTTCAAGGAAGAAAGACAATCTCTTTCTGTGTGACTAAAGTTTTAGAAACCCAATGGAAGCTCATGTCTAACTTGGTTCCAAGTTGATGTTGATGAGTTTTCCATTAGTTGTGCTCTAGAATTTACCCAGCTTTTTATTAGCAAGATTTGAAGTTACCCAGGTTTTTTTTTAGTGACTGTGTTTCACAGTTTTAAAATTTCCTTGGGTTCATTCTTATATGTCCATATCTTTGATGAGCCTTTCTGCTTTTTCCTTTGTTTCAAATGCATTCATAATTGCTTGTTGAGGCATTTTATCATGGCTGCTTTAAAATACTAGATCATTCTAACAACTTTGTCATCTGAGTATTGACATTTACTGACTGGAAATTTTTGTCAAGTTTAAAATCATCCTAGTCCTTGGTATGAGAAATGATTTTTGACTGACACATGTACATTTTATTATTATAAAATAGATGCCTAATTTTATTTAAGTTCTCTTTTTAGCTGGCATTTTCTGATATCACTCCAGTAAAGGAGAAGTGCATGTCCTTTATTACTTACAGTAGGGGTAGAAACTGAGGTTCACACCTACACTCCATTAACACTTAAATGGGAGTGTCTCCTAGGGATGCCTTCATTGTTGACTTTACAGGACATCTCTTACAACACAAACGCATGAGAGAGTACAAAGTGTTTCATTATCATAGGGTAGAAGAGAAAGTCCAAGCTCTCCACTGGCATTGCAAGTGGAATGGGGCTTGTACTCTGTGATTGCTGTGAAAGTTCTAGTTTTCAAACAGCTTTCTGTAGATGTCATGAGAATTCAATTTAAGTTCATCTAGACCTTGTCTAAAACCTGAAAAAAAAATAGATAGGGTTTTCTGGTGGCATAGAGCTCTAACCCAGAGGAGCATTGTCTCCTGCATTTCAAATCCACCAGTGACTCTACAGTGATAAGATAGGCAGTCTCCTCTCTTTGCAATTTACAGCTTTGGAGACTTCATGAAGAGTCACTAAGAGTTGAAATTGACTAAAAACAGTGAGTGAGAGTGAGTAAATGAGTAAAAAAAACCACATAACCTTTTCTTGTCATTTTTTTTTAAATTTATTTTTCAAAAATACTTTCTCCAATTTCTTATCTGGGTATCACTTAAAGCAAAAAAAGTTCAAGAACCTGAAAGTCCACTGCTGTGGAATCTTTTGTAATTCACAGAGAGACATGAGGAGAGAGGACAACTTCATAGGATTTCCTAAGCTGTAAGCTTAAAAAGAGCCGTCATCTTTCTCCCAAGAGGTAGTTGGTGAATTTGAACTTGTGATCTTTGAATTAGCAGACAACTACTTAATCATTGAACCAACAGAATTTCTGAATATATGCAGCACAGGAGGGGAAGACCCTCTGTGAGATGGATTGTTTTGGTGACTGGGGTAATCGGGATGGGTGTGTCAGAGGCAGTGTGGTTGGCAATATAAAAATTGTACTGGGCAGATTCTAATTGGATTATGATAATAAGCATTTCCCTCTGGGTCTATGAGAATGTAAAGAGTTATGATTCAGCAAAGGGTAGGCTGCAAGTTCATTATTTAAAATATCAGTCAAATTTATCTATAATAATAAAGAGAACTCTAAAAAGGAAACCAGGAATCTAAAACCATTCACAATAGCCACACAAAAGATTAAATATTTAGAAATAAATTAGCGATACATTAAAAAAAAAATCTACACAAAGAAACCACCAAAAAAAGAAAACTGCTTCAAGAAACCAAAGAGACATATACAAGTAGTATATTTTGCTTATGGGTAGGAATTAAATACCTATTCAATCTATATGCTGAGCAAACTTGAGAAGCTGGACTTTAGGATGAAGAATGTGGCATCAGTATAAGAAGAAGACTCATCAATAACCTTCGTTATACAGATCAAAGAGCCTTGCTTGCTAAAAGTGAGGAGGACATGAAGTGCTTGCTAAAGAAGATCAAAGACTGTAGCCTTCAATACAGGTTACATCTCAACGTCAAGAAAAAAAATAAAATTCTCACCACTGGACAGATAGGCAACATCATGATAGATGGAGAAAAGATTGAAGCTGTCAACAACTTCCTCTTTCTTGGCTCCACAATCAATATACTTAGTATCAGCAGTCGGGAGATTAGGAAACATATTGCACTGCGACAGTCTGCAGTCAGGGACCTCTCCAAATTATTGAAGAGCACTGATATTTATTTGAGGACTAAAGCGTGCCTGATTTAGGCCATGGTCTTTTCAATCACTGGCTATGCATCTGAGAACTGGACAATGACTAAGTATGACAGAAGAAGAATTGATGTATTTGACCTGTGGTTTTGGAGAAGAGCACTGAACATCCTATAGACTTCCAAAAGAACAAATACATATTTCTTGGAGAAAGTGAAGCCAGAGTGCAGAGGCAAAGATGATAAAACTTTATTTGACATACTTTGAGTATGTTGCTAGAAGAGGCTAGTCTTTGGAGAGGCCCGTCATGCTTGGGAAGGTAGAAGGGCAGCAAAAGTGAGGAATGCCCTCAGTCTGGTGGATTGACACAGTGACTGCAGGAATGGGCTCAAGTGTGTCAGAAATTGGGAGGATGGCACAGGATAGGACAGGGTTCAGGTCTGTTGTTCTCAATGTTGCCATGAGTTGTGCCTGACTTGATGACACCCAACAACAACAGCTGTAGGAATAGTTAACATTCTAAGAATGTTAGTACCACCTTGAACAACCTACAGGAAAAAATGTATTAACAATTCAGAGCATCATTTTTTAAAATATTTTAATTTATTTATTTTTCATTTCAATGAACATCTACAGAGATTTTGGAATTCCATTCATTCATTGTT